ACAGCAAGACACTCTTTTTCCGTTGCTGCATAATTCTTTTCAGCAGTAGTTAAAGAGCGACTTGCATACGCTACTACCCTTTCCTTGTGGTTAGCATCTAATTGGGAAAGTATAGCTCCTAATGCTAAGTCTGATGCGTCTGTAAAGAGAATGAACGGTTTCGTAAAGTCCGGATAAGCCAAGATAGGAGCAATCATAAGCTTTTCTTTAAGCTCTTCAAACGACTTTTGCTGCTTGGGGGTCCAACGGTAACCCACATTCTTTTTCAACAAAGCATTCAAAGGTCCGGCAATGTTAGTAAACCCGGGGATAAATCGTCGGTAGTAAGATACCAATCCTAGGAATCCCCGGAGCTGTCTCAGGTTCTTTGGTATGGGGAATTCTTGAACAGCCTGGACCTTTTCAGGGTCTGTAGATATACCCTGCTCGCTTACGACATACCCCAGAAATTTAAGCTTCCTTTTGCAAAGGAAACACTTTTGAGGCTTAATCTTCAAATTAGCCTTCCTCAATCTTTCAAAGACTTCCCGAAGGTGGTCCAAATGTTCTTCAAACGATTTGGAATAAATGTTTAAGTCATCTAGATATACAACGACAAATTTTCCGATGATGTCTCCAAAGATTTGATCCATTAATCTTTGGAAGGTGGCTGGAGCGTTCATGAGACCGAAAGGCATTACGTTAAATTCGAAGATGCCTTGTGGAGAAATAAAAGCGGTCTTTGGTTTATCCTCTTCAAGCATTTCTACCTGCCAGTAACCACTAGCAAGGTCTAGTGTAGTAAACCAAGACGAGCCGTTCAGGGAATCTAAAAGTTCATCTACTCTTGGTAAAGGGTAGTTATCCCTTATTGTAATGGCATTAAGCTTCCGATAGTCGATACAAAGCCGCATTTTCCTGGCTTTCTGTTTCACAAGTACCACCGGAGAGGTCCATGGACTGTTAGAGGGTCTGATTATGTTTTCCGCTAACATAGTCTTAATTTCTTCTTTTAAAAATTCTTTTTCCGCCGGGGAGTACCGATATGGACGTTGTTTAATCGGCCATACATCTCGGGTTGGGATTTGGTGGCGAACAACGCCATTCCGTCCTAGTTCACCAAGACTTCTTGCACAAATGTCCTCGTATCTATCCATAAGGAGTTGTAATTGATTCTGTTGGTCTATATCTAAACACCCGATTTTATATTCTATATCTATTGGGACCTCGTTTTCGTAGTAATAATCAAAGAGGTCTGGGATAGACTTATGTTTCACTATCTGAGAATTCAAATAAGTCACCGGCCATAGTCCTGGATAATCATCTTTTTCTTCGTATTCATCTAAGTCTACCATATCTTCCCATAACAACTCACTATCACTATAATCTATC